GTGACACATCAAACTAAATGGCTCACCCCTGACATTTATCACAGAGTCAGTGAAGACTGACCTCCGTTTGCTTCTCATCCGGCTACCTGCAGCTCAAGCTTTTACTCAGTAATGAAAACATATAATCAAAAGAGGCAAGTGCTTTTATTCCAAACGACACAAGATAACTTTAGAGAATAAGATAAGATAATAACACAGTCTTGCCCCAAAAGGGTCTCATAAGGCATTTGTTTACACAACCAGATATGGTCAAATATTTTTTTACAGATAATCTGAAGGGTAATATGACATCTATAATATTACAACAAGACAGACTTTATTAGCCACAACCCTGACACAGTTGTGTTACTTTCTAAGACCAATTGGAGAGTGGAGAGGTCTCATTATACCATAGTCCCCATATAACCAAGATATGAAACAAAGTTTAGACAGAATATTGTTGTACTTTATAACTGGTAAATAGGATTTTCCATAATAGCAATTATCTTGGGATTAAGCTAGTTGGACAGGGTTCTATAGCACTGGTACACCGATTAAAAGTTTTGAATATCTGTACCTGTAAAAAAATAAAAATAAAATAAAAAAGAGCTTCCACTGTTGCATAACAGCATTTTGTACTGCATTTATTAGGTTTTATGATTAGTAAAGTGTTGAATATTTATCTTAGATTTAAAAAAATAAATAAATAAAATGTTTTTTTTGTTGACAGTGATGTTCTGCTTTGTTCATTTTTACCATCATACTTAAGAAAATAAGAAGAGAAATGAGTGGGAGTTTCATGAAATTGCAGGTTGGTGAAATTTGCATAATTGTGGAAAAATTGCAACTTAATATTAAAAAAAGAATAAAACGATCTTCTGTGAAAATGAATTCATGGTGAGGCTGATGAATCACTCCTGAGTCTGCAGAGTATTTATTAGCAACACTGCCATCATGTGACCTCACGATGAACTGCTGCTCAGATGGTGGCGCTCCAATATCAGGAACCTGTTTCTGATGCCAGGTTTTCTTTCAGTTCATCTTTTCATTTCAAGTTGGTGTTATACTGAAGCAGATTTGTGAAGTTTAAAGAGAGTTTCTGCAATAAATATCAAATAATTAAGCTGTGACTTCCAATCCGTTTGTGGACAGACTTTGATACATTTCCTTGAAGGATTTTTAATTAATTCCCATTTTCACGAGCCACAATCAAATGTTTCTATTGATTAGGTGATATCTAAAACACTAAAACCTACTTATACATTTCACTTAAAAAGGTTTCTGTCAAAACTGTTTTAGATTTTCTGTGAAATCTGTTTGGAATAAGCAGGTATAGAAAAGAATAGATAGATGTTTGGGTTTTGGGGATTGTCACTGAGTCAGTCAGGTTCCTTTTCTCAGCAACAACTCTGAAGATGGCAAAACTCTGGATCTAAATGAAAGGCTGACGTGCTCAGAGTGAAGTGCTTAGATATTGAATATTCTTTGAAAATGAATGTGCATTGACATTTCAAGTATTTGAAAGCCTAGAAAATTAATAGAAAAAGCTAGTTTCCTGGTTACATTAAAACCTTGCAAAAAAAAAACTGACATGATTTGTGTGTTTTTATTGTATATTTCATAATGTCTGAGATCATTGTCTGATTGGATCAAAAGCAGGTGACTCACACTTAAATAGATGGTATGGATAAACCGGCCTCATTAATCCCTTTAAAGACATGTGCCAAAGTAATCTGTGTCTTTGGTAATATTGTTTCAAGATTGTGAGGAAGTGCTTAGTAATTTTTTATGGGAGTCATGAGGAAAAAAAGCTCCTGGGCTTTTCCTCAGGACTCGCCTGGCATTGTGCTGCTTCCTGGTCCGTCCAGACTTTATTATCAACAAAAGGACAAAAGGGTACAGACGAATGCGCAATAGCCAATCCGTGCACACAATAGGGGGTCTGCTTTTTCCCAGGCCTCCTGGAACCAATCATAATTTCCCCATTTCCTGATCTATCTATCTATCTATCTATCTATCTATCTATCTATCTATCTAT